AACAAATGGTGACACTAAAGCTCAGGTATCATTAAGATTCATCGTCTGGAGATCATGAAGGTTGGTTCATCATTACGTAGTCATCTGTTTGATAGTCATATGGACAGACTGCTGTCTGGACCAAACAACTGACATCCCTCCAGCCATCTGGCACGACTAAAGAATTATTTTGACACATTAAAGTCCTCTCAGGTCATTTATTTAAACCTTTTAAAACTTTTATCGTTGTGTCAAAGTTATATATGAATAAAGTATTTTTTTCCATGAATTCCCTTTATGCCCTAAAATCACTCCATCCCTACTAAGGCCTTGTATGTACCTTACAATATACAGTCGTGACTCGATAATCCGACCCTGAGTCATGGTCTTGACTGCTCGTATAAAAACAACACATGGACATGTTGGATCTTACCATTCACACAAACGCTCGACGGCTCTATTGTGAAAACTTCAGAGCACGACTGCTTCAGGACCTGTGAAACAGGATGAAGCTCAGATGGTGATTAGCTGCATAATAAATCACCTCCACACAGCGTGAATGTTTCTGCATGTCATTGTCCATCACGTGACCTCACCGTGTTGACGATATCTTTGAGGGCATGAAACCCGGACAGAACTGGAAAGACTTGCTCCGTGCCGTCTGCTATTTCAGCGAGCTGCGACCAAACACAAAACAGTTTGTTTATCGTCCACGTACAGAACACGAGCTTCAGCGTCTCGGTGACGTTCGGTAGCATTTAGGGAGGGAAAGCCTGTTTCCAGGAGATGAAAGCTTTGGGCAGCTGGCTGAAGCTTTCATCTCCTGCTTTAATGACGGCAGCGCAGGAAGTTTGTCTGGCATTATTTAATTAGAGAGTGATGTAATTGCTTCCTCTTTGGACCACAGAGGCGTGTGGTCAGGTCAAAAAATCACTTGCAGCTACTGACTACTGAAGTCTTCCAGGTCACACATTGTCAGATAAACGTATTAATACTGGTTATGAGGAATAATAACATGAATAAGCTTTGGAATACAAACACAGGACGGGTTCAGGGCAGAAGCTGAGCAACAACCGACGCCACTCTGAATGAAATATGGCCGTTTTGTCATTCTCAACAAATGCAATTACAGTTTTCCTCTGTGCTGTAAATCTCACTTGTAATAATGATGTGATGTTGAGTGTAGAAGAGATCCCATATCACAGCAGATAATGTGCTTGTTTGTGGGATAACAGCTCGATTTCCTTTGTGTTTCCTCCAATCAGCAGAAGACATATGGGTTTATTATTCTTACCCGCCGTGAAACACGACTTTGAGGACGTACTGGGTTTCATCCTCTACATGCTGTGTTGAGTGTTTTCATTACTGTCCTTCAACAACTAATGCCTTGACAGGAAGAAATCAAAGTCTCTCCCAGGAAATGAAAACTTAAAATATGCTGAATAAAAGGCAACATGCACGCCAGCGGCTTGGGATCAAATCCCTCACATGTCCAACTTATTGAAAAAAAAAGTCCATTTCCGCACACATCCATCACGTCTGCATCAGTTTGAGTCCTGGGAGAGGTTCTGGTGACCAAAACTCACAACTTTTTAATAAATCAATGCAGAGATGATGCTTGAACTGACTTTTATTGTCGATGCATTCGCTGTTTTTAAAACAAACGAATCCTAAACTCTGAATCCCTGTCGGCTCCCCACGAGGCTTCAGCTGAACTGAGCAACGAGGTCAAGGTGTGTTCACAAACCTGGGCCAGAAACAACACAACCTAACACACACTGACACACACAGAAAGACAAATAAAACCGCCGTGTTTAAACAGAAACAGTATCGGTAACCGGGACAGTTCTCTCTCACAGCGCTGCCCGGCATTCAGAGGCCAGGAAGAGGCTGATAACAGGATCAAACTGAAGCCCTCCTACCTGTTTGTGGTCGAAGTCCATGACCCCGACACAGTACACTCTGGCTCCGAAGCCTCTGGCCCGGTCAGCCTGGGAACCACAACACACAGAGTCAAGTTGTGCTTCTGCTGACACACATCTCGTCCGTATTTATGTACTCAGATGAGCTGGAACTGATGAGAGATCAAATGATCAAACATGTTTTATTGTTACGGCTCCACAAATTCCCAAAGCATGCATTAAAGTGTTACAGCGGTTCGTGTTTTGCTTCTCGCTGGGCAGTTCGTGCAACTTGATACGAACACCAACAAGCGACTCTTCAGAGTGTTGTGTTGTAACGGATGGAACAATGTGAGGAGTGCATGTGTCAGCGTGTCTCCAAACAACGAACAGCATCAACAGCAAACCCACAAACTGAGTTAAAAGTGGACGTGATGTTTACAGAGGAGCTTGTTTCAAGTGTCTTCAGATTATTTTTCTTGCTGTACTTGAGTTAAAAACAATAGAAAACACCATGAGGATGAGCATCGTGATCGTCTGACAGTCCCTCTACCATTAGATTTATCTTCAGTAGTTTGTGTTTTACCTCCTTCACACTCAGCTCAAACGGGTACACGTCCAGCTTGCCGTCAGTCAGAACGATAATGATGCTGGACGTCGGTGAAGTTTGCGTCTTCATTTGCTCCGACACCTGATAATGGAACGTTAACTTAGAGGATTTCCTACCAAACCGATGCATTCCTTCACTAAACCAGAATATACAGCAAAATATATGATAAAATGGACCAATATGCACAAGACACAGCATCCACAGTTGTTGTACGATAGATTTTTTCAGACTTTTGATGACAGTGTCACTGAAAATATTACAGAAGTTGCAGTAAATACATAATCAGCTGTGCAAGAATCACAATCTGTGGCTGCAATTGCAATATCAGGTGTGTTCATGTACCGCTTTCAGGCCTTCATGCATGTACGTTTCACCGGCTGGAGTGATCTGGCTCAGCTCGTTCAAACCCTCGTCGATCTTCGACCTGCGGAGCCGGATCACAAAACACAGACCACACGAATAGAAAAGATCTAAAAGTCTCTGTGTGATGATGTTGGAAGATGGATGAAGAGTTGGAGAGAGAGACAGAAGCAGAAAGGTAATGCGTACCTGTCTCCGGTCAGTGGAAGCACCACGACGGCTCGAGCTGAGAAGACGATGTAGGAAACCCTCATTCTGGGGCTGAGAGACACACAGACAGCATGAGGAGATCGGTTCTAGGATTAGAAGCTACACGTGCTGGTGTACATGTTAAGGTCATGTGTGTCACCAGAAAAGCAAATTTCACATCAATGCAAACAACCAACAAAATGCTTTTCTCACTTTACATGACAGTGATGAACAATATGATGCACAAAACATGACATAACATAAACTAAAACTGCATTTCATACATCATATGATGAGACAAAGTGTAGTGAAGTCATACATTCAACATGAGGTTATACGACGACGCTGATGAAATGACATCAAACTCCACGACGTGAGAAAGCAGAGAAGCCACAACGTAAACTAATAAAACCACAACTATTATTAAACTTACAGCACATGAAGCAGCGTTTCATGTCTGAGTGAAACTTCAGCATTAACAGAACCACTAACAGAGCCGCTGCCTGCCTGTGAACGGACTCGGTTCTGTCTGTTGTGGTCAGAACCACCTTCAACATCTGGCTGCTTGTTTGGTTCTCCTATTCAGCGCCCTGCTATTAAACCTAAAGATATCACACACGCCCTCCGTGCTATTACCCAGAGGGGTTTTGGAGCAGTTGGTGGCCTTGTATGATGTCTGCTGCCTGAAATAGGCCTGCCCTACTTTCTGTTCACTACGACTGTAATTTAAAGACCTATTCTGACTCTCTGCTGTGTAAATAGTCTGCGTTTCCTTTTTATTTCCGCTGTCTGCACGCAGAGCGCTCGTCTAAACGGGGTATATAAAGTTTTGAATTATTTTTTGAGGCTTTTTCTGGGAGGGTGCAGCACAGAATAAAGAGGGATTACTTCAGCTTTAAAACCTAAATGCATGAAACACTCACCTGACAAACCTGCTGGTGAGCTGCTCCACAAACCCAAAGATCTCGTCCCAGTGGCCCCACACGCTGCCCGACCTGCACAAACCAGCAACAGAGTGAACAATCAAACGCATCCGAACACTGAAGTACCAGTTAGAGAGAGAGTCAACACAAATCAATTTAATCTGATTTATATCACTTATATTATCTGTCTAATCTATAAAACTAAAGTTCTGATGCTGCTTTAGGTGTTGTTCAGGGAGTAGAAAGATAAAAAATAAGCAGAAATAAAAGAGCAAATAGGAGGAAATTTAATAAGTTTAACACTTAAGACAAAACAAAAGGAGCCAGATGTGCACATCAGATCTAAAAATACTGAGATTCATGTAGAAATTTTACATTTTGCCAGATTTTTGGGGAACAAAACCTGCAAAATAAACAGAAAGGGTGTTGGTCAGTTTATTTTATTGGCGCTTGATGACAAACACAGAAAAGAATTAGTTAAATGTGCTGTTGTTGGGAAGTCTGTGAAGAAATTAGCTTTACATATTAACCAGATGTTGAAGAAGTTTTTACTTTCTTTACTTTGGCAAAATTAACAATAAAATACTATAAAAATATTCGACTACATGTAAGAGTCTTAAGTCTTCAGTTAATGTATTAATAGCAAAATTGTAGTTTAAGCACCGGTTTGGTCCCTCTGACTGATAAGTTATTATTTAAGATGTCATTAGATTATCAATACTGAAGCTTCAGTGTGTCAACAGCAGGTCAGTGTTACAGCTGCTGCAGGTGGAGCTGCTTCTAAATACTTTATATTCATTTTAACAAAATATTACAGTGAGGGGTCTGGACATGACTGACGGGAGAGACGAGAAGACAAATTAAAGTTCTGACGCACAAATCTGTTCACAGCTTTTTTTAGACTGTTAAAACTTTAATTTTTGGAGAGATATTGGATCACTTGTGTTGACATTAAAGCATGCAAGAAGAGTTTAGTGAAGCTGTTAACAGCTCATAGACATCTGAACTGTCTTCACAACGCTTCCTGTAAGATGACAGAAGCCATGTAGGTTGGAAACCACTGGTTTAAACTTTAACAATGTTGTGTTTTTTAAAGCCTGTTGTGTGAAATCTTTATTTTAATAATATCTAATCCAGTCAAATAAACATAATGGCGTAGTAAGGACAATATCTCCATCAGAAATACAGTAGAGTGGAAGAATAAAATAGAAAAACTCAAATAAAACTCTCCACTCAAGCACAGTACTTGAGTAAATGTACTTATTTACTTTCCACAGCTGATGATAACAACACAACACATTGAGGAAAGGCTGCGGCTATAAAAGGGAACCATCTCCAAGCACCTACTAAGATTAAAATAAACTGCAGCACAGCAGAAACTAAACACAGCCTTACATGGAGAGGACTCAGTCCAACAGGGTCTCTGCTCTACATGACATTCACTGAATATTTCACTCTGCCTCCAATAACTCACTTGTCCAGAACAAAATAAATATCAAACGCTCCATCGCAGGACGCGTCGTCCTCATCACGCACCGACGAACTCACGCAAACACGCACAACAAGTAGGACCTGGCAGAATATCCACATCCGATCCATAATCCATGCGTTTCATATCGAGTTTGGTTTTATAAAAAAAATAAGAAAAATAAAAATAAATAAGAAATCAGTGCAGTTGTGGAGAGACCTTCATCCTCACAGCCTCCCTCTGCAGCTCACATGTTGGACCAACATGCGGGATGTTGGTGGGAATGAAGGAACCGGGGCAGGGCGCACAGCTGCAGCCTGCACCGTCAGCCAGCGGCAGGAAGGACTCACACAGCTTCCTGTCCTCCAGGAAACTTCACAATAAAGTACACATCCCCAGCAAACAATATAAAATTTAAATAGAGTTCATTTAAAAGAATAAAAAACTATCAATATAGCATCATAAAAATACTCAATTACAATTACAAGTCCTGTTCGGCTACCAGTGAACCCTCACTATGAACTCTGCTCATATATATCATCTAGCTTTTAGCCTTTTTATTTTGAGAGTGATGTTAATTATCTTGCTGTGTTTCTCCAGACATCTCTTCCCCACAGCAGCTGGTAGAATAAATCATAACTGACATAGATTAGAGAAAAAAAGATAAGCTTGTATTTGAAACCTGATTGGCTGAGAGGCCTTCCTGTCACTATAAAGACGCCTCGCTTCCCCTTCAGTGTGCATAAAGTTGAATTAGGGTGCCATGTTTTAAGACTGAAATAAAAACGTACCCCTTCGTGAGTGATCAGCCCGGCAGCTTATTACAATACATGTCTTACTGACTCATAAATCCCCCTAACTGTATGTGTAATGTCTCAAACAAATGCAAAATGTTCTTGTAAATCTATTGCAGATGGAGAATTGAGTAGGATAACACAACGCCCTTCGTACGTCAGAGTGATTTACTGCTTTGCATGAAAATATAACCTCCCAGATTGAAGCTGAGCCCATTCCTTTGTCCTGAAACATGCACGTTGTCATGAACTCATTCCAGCTCTACATGCTGTCCACTAGCGGAGGAGCTGGTGCTTCGATGCCCTCCACATGCTGAAGTATGTTTTGGCAAAACAACGAACCCCCGATGGTGCCTTGTTGAGCAGCTCTACTAAGTGGCAGAGCTCTGAGTACTGCTGAGGTAGAAAAGTGCTTCATGAGTGCACACTATTAACCATGTTGCACGAGCAGGACGCTGAGAGATGTTGATTTCATTCCTGGAGTTCTTCTGTGGTGCAGTTGCTGTAATTATATGTTCCGCTGCGCTCTCTGCAGGGATGCAATGCCCCCGTGGCCTGTGGCTTCCCAGCTGGTTCGGTTTCAGCTCTTAAGGAGGATGAAGTCATGACAGTAAACAAGTCAAATAATAACATACCAAAGTCTCTGTGTCAGCAAATGGCACCTCTTCTGTTTCATCTCGCACGAGCCAAGAATCACCCTTATTCATGGTCACGGATTATGTGATCTGCATTTTAATTCAGGGTGTGGGTGCTTTAACTCTTGTTGCATGTCCTGTCCGATCATTTCTGCTCTTTTCTGATTAAAAAAAGGCCGACCGGATCATCATCACAGCAGCTATAGAGCAGCTATAGAAGATCCTCACCGTTGGACTGTGTGCAGAACAACAGCCTGTCATACCACGAATGTTTTCAGGCCGGCCGTCTTGCCAACGGGAGCTTCAGTCAGTACAAACTCGGACGGTGCAGCCAAGCACCCTTCACACCCACATGGCTTTATTTTTAAAAATCTTAGCGAGAGCCCAAAGTTTCCAGAGATACCAAATGCATCAGGACGAATCTGAGAAAATATGTATGAAATGCAAACCATGAAAAGAGTTTTGTTTCAATCATAATAAACATCCTAAAGTTTCTCTCGTAGATTAAATCGTAGCAGCTGGACCTGCTTGAGTTCCTTGAAGACGTTCCACCTCTGATCCAAAAGGCTTCATCAGTTCTGACTGAGTAGACAGGACACTGGGACTGACGTTCCTCGCCTGAATGCCAAGACCTGTACATCGACTCCACAAGCACATGGCTCAGCACAGAAGCTCCTCAGGACAGGACTCAGCAGTCCACCTGCATCTCAAGGACAAAGGACGCTCATTTGAAGATAATAATGTACAGATGTTGTCCAGATGGTTTGAGAGAGGGGTGAAAGAAGCCATCTATGTCCAACTGGAAAGACCATCCCTCAACAGAGGTGGAGGTCTGAGGCATCACCTCTCACCTGTTTACTGTTCAGTCCTAAGAACTCTCCCCAGGAAGATGAACCCACATCCACACCGAGCCACAGAGACCCTAACGAACCCCACTGTGGCAGGGGGAGCACTAACGACTCACATAACGAGGGGGAGGAGCAACAAACCCCCAGTTAAAACTCAGGTGTTAATGGATCCTTCAGGATATCAGTATGTGGAACTCCCAATTAGTCAGTCAGAGCTGATGAAGCCTCTTGGATGAGAGGTGGAACGTCTTCAAGGAGCTCAAGCAGGTCCAGCTGGTATGATTAATCTACCAGAAGAACCACGACCTGGATGATTGAGGATCTTCACAGACATCCTAAAGTTTCAATAGAAAGCAGGAACAAGATGATTAATGGTTGATGGTGTCTCCAACCTTTAAGCTGCAGGTGGCTGCATATCTGTACAGTGTCTCTGTTACTGTGAACAACTAAGACAGTAAAACATGACCTGACTCCCAACAGGCATGAAGTTTAAAATTAAAGATGACACAGAAACTTTATTTTCTTCATCTTTTACAGTTTCAAAGTGACTAAAGTAAAACCTTCAGACGCCCTCTATGGTCGGCACTCAGCAACATCTGATTTTGGACGGATCACAGTTTGTGTGCTTTTGTCCTCCTTTAGCTCTTGATTGAGGAATTTTCGCCCTTTTTTTTTCCTTGTGAGATTCGTGCGCTGCTCTGTTCGACACCCACCCACAGATCTTAGGTCAGGGGATTTTGAGGGGCCGTGACAAAACCGTCAGCTTGTGATTCTTGGAGAAGTTCATTGTGGATTCTGATGTGTTTAGGATCATAATCCTGCTGTTGAAGCCATACTTTTTAAAAAAAATTTCCACCTTTTTAGCAGACTGCGTAATGTTTGCTTCTAGAATTTATTAGTATTTAATTGAATCCGTTCTTCCATCCTCCACTGAAGCATTCCCCATGCCGCTGGCTGGAACACAAAGCGTGATGGATCTGCCCCTGAGGTGTTCTTTTCATGGACTTCTGCACCTTTTTTTCCCCTCCAGCCACATCTTTACTTACTGCAGCCAAAAGCTTGTCTTTTAATATCATCAGTCCACAGGACTTGTTTCCAAAATGCATCCGTCTTGTTAAGATGATCATCTGCGAACTTCTGATGCAGAATTTTGTGGTGATGACACAAGAAAGGATTTTTCTAAAGACCCTTCCATGAGGCAATTAATATTGAAAAACAATTATCACTCATGTAAGGAATTCTGCTTTCTGGACAAAAATATATCTGTTATCATCTGGAAAAATAGCGTCACTGACAGGGATGCTCGTTTAAAGTCTGAAGTGGAGCTTTTATGTACAAAACGTCACCGTGAGATGGTAGCTTAATAAATGCTCTTGGGAGCACTAGTACTGGTGTGTAGACAGTAGTTTACACGTTATGCTCTTTCAGTGGAAACCATATTTGTGCAGACTTTGCTGTAGAACAGAGCATCACCACTCTAGAGTCTGTAAAGTCTTCCTGAAGGTCTTTTAGAATCAAACGGGATGTTTGATTTCCCAGCAACCTTATGAGCAGCTCTCTGGGAAAGTTCTTGACCTCTCAGACCTCAGCTTGACCTCCACCATCCCTGTTCACTGCAATTTCAGAACTATTTTACAACCTGAAAGCACTTTGCTGTCTTCTCATAGCCTTCTTTAACTCTGTGGTCATCATTTATTTGTCCAAGGTGGATATTTAGGCCTTGTCCACATGGACCAAAGCATTTTTATAAATGGGTTTTCTCTTCCTTTGTTCTCAAAAAACTCTCTGTTCACATGAAAATCCAAAAACACAACTGAATCACTGTGAAAAACCAAAACAACATTCGATAACCCCACAGGCACTGTTGGCCAATAGAAGGCTGAAAAAAGCTATTACTGGCTCCAACAGGTTAATCAAGGCATCAGGGAATCATATGCACTGGCTGATTATAGCACCTTTGTTCCTTAAAACAGTGGAAGAATAACTACACATGCATGTGTAAAGTCCTGTTAGCAACGTTAGCACAACACTGGCCAAAACCCCGTCATGTAAACAAAGAAAATAATGTACTCTGACGTCGTAAGTCAGAAATGCAGCTCTCCCTGTCCACATAGCAACACTGCCTACAGAGTTCTCCAAAATCTCTGACTTAAATCTGTGTTTGCATGTGAACGAAGGACCAGAACGACACAGACAAAGCAAAGTGTGATTAAATAACCGTGCACATGTGTTTGGGGTCTTAGAGAAGCCCATAGGCTGCTGGTTGTTGGGAAAAGGTTCCAGATGATAAAACTTTATCATGACTGTGAACAAGTCATAGCTCCAAAAAGTTAATCAATGTCAGAGAAATGACCTCAAATCTCCAGGGATTACCACACTTTTGCATAGCGGGATTTTCTGATTTTATCTCTAAAGCTGCTCAAAAACAAACACGGTGCTCAAATCCTGCTTAAGATATCATTAATCTTTAGCTTCTGGAGGTCAGTTCTTCTTCTCACTTAGCATTTCTCAGCAACTTGTGGACCTCTGTTTCCCTGTTTCCTCCAGGCTGGAGGGGCTGATAGCAGCAGACGGGGGTCAGAGGGTTGCCTCGGCTGAAAAACAAAGCTATAGTGTTTCCTCATTGCATGCACAGTGAGCAGTGTGTGACCACAGCCAATCCCTCCCATCGCTAAAATAAATGAAAATTTTTAGGGTTGTGCCCGCAAGTCTCGTCTATTAAATAAAAAAGCACTTCTATTGTCAGTAAACAAGCTGCATTGTAATTAAAGCGCCACCAAATGCATGAGTGGGAATTTATGACAGCGTTGCAGGAGATTTCCTCTGAGAACTCTTTAAACTATTAAAATTAAAGATACAAAACATGCAGCGCTTATAAAGACAGAGGAGGCTTAATTCTGTGTATGTGACACTGATTTAAATTAGGAATGAGGAGATATTTTGCAGGTAAAAGCAGGAGGTTCCTGTTCTGAAGTTTAACGGCTGCAGGTGCAGTTCCCCGCTCCGCCAGCTGGCGGCGGTAATTTACCGTGTCATTGTTTACCATCAGCACCAGACGGACAGAGGAAGACAGGCTCGGTCGTGTGAAGAAGCTCATGTGTGGGAATTTACTAAAATGTGACTTTTTAACAGCATGCTAGCTTGACAGCCATCCGGATATGGCTGAACTGGCCGAACGAGGACCACGACGACTGATGGTGAGCGTTTTTAAACCCTGTCTCACATCCGGTTAGCTGGCTAACGCGCTGCCTGTCAAGGTTAGCACGGACGTTGGCTAGCCAAAATTCTGCCTGCTAACATGTCTAAAATAAATAAATAAATGAATGAAATAAACAGTCAAAGAGGTTTGAGATGTCACCGTGTTTGTTTGGCTATGCTACGAGCTTTGTCTGAACGTGAAAGCGATGCTAAAAGAGTGTTAGCGAGGATAAATGAGGCGGTAAACAGTAATAACGTAGCTGTTAGCTTTAGCTTAGCTTAGATGTAAACACGGTTAAACAGGGGCTTTAAATGATTTGTGAGGAAGAGGAGTCCTGGTCCAGTGAGCTCAGGGTTTACTGACGGTAGGAATAGGGGGGCTTTCTTTGGTGGAAAGTTAACCAAGTCAAAGCTCAGCACATTGTGTTCCGGTGATGAGGAATGTCCAGAGTTAGACCTGTTTCTGGTGCAGCTGGTTTTTCCTGAATGGTAGTTCTTATTGATGTCCTATAACGAACTAAGCTCATTTCAAAGACATATATATCCCAAAATAAATCCATCTGAACAGCGACATACCCCGTCAGAGAATCCAAAGTATTCATTCATTCATTCTATGAGTGTTCTACCCACATGTTTTGGTTGTTTGAATGAAGCACTTTGTTAAATCTGAGGAGCAAAAGTTTACCTGAAGGAGTGTCAAATAAATCCCAAAGGACACTAATACAACACCCCAGTTATTACAGGACTATGTCCACATGCTCAGCAGTGGAAGGCTGTTTCAATATTGATGTCATTTAGATTTAATTTATGGTCCTGCCATGCATATAAATAGACAACTGTTTGCATTGACCCAGCTACACTATTTACAGTAAGAGCTGAGTGTAATAAACTATGTGTCCATCGGCTGACTGTCTGTTGTTTACATACATAAGTCATCCCATAAGTTTGTGCTTACAGTAATACGACAATATGGTTGTATTTTAACAGCTAAACCTCTCTGTAATTAAAACTTGAAATGCACAAGAAACTGTCCAGAGCGAACAGCAGCAGCGTATTATTCCTGCTCGATCCACTCTGAGCTCGACATGATGATTTCATTCAGCTGTTTGCTTGTTAAAAGTTAAGGCTGTGTAAGATCACGCTGACATGTCGGATGATTGAAATGCAGTCACCTGCTGTTCCACGTGCACAGAGTCTCTCTCTAAATATGAAGATCGAGACGTTTCTGCCGGTGAAGCTGCAGCTGTTCGATAAGCTCAAAGAAAGGACGGCGACGTTCTACATGTGTTTACGTCTGTGCTGTGCAAAACGGTGTCTAAAAGTGGATTTTAAGAGTTGTATGTGAGTTGATCGTGCTGTGATACTGAAGAAAGCTTTGGCACAATTTAAAAACAAAACAAACCCTAAACGTAACCCCAATGCCGTAGTAATAACGTGTTTTCACTGTTTGCATTGGACTCAAACTACGCTATCAGTTACTGAATGGATCCAGTGCCTCTTCCTGACCAACGCTTTTCTCTCTCCAAATGCAGCCTTAATCCTCCCCAGCTTGCCTTGTAGCCGAGGAGCCCAGAACAAGATGCTGCTGAAGATGCCTCAGAAGCTGCTGAAGACTGCCCACTACATCGAGCTGGGCAGTTACCAGCACTGGCCGGTGCTGATACCCCAGAGGATACGGCTGTACACCTACGAACAAATCCCCCTTTTCCTCAAAGAAAACCCGTACATCACAGACGGCTACAGGGCTCACCTGCCCTCCAAACTCTGCCTGAAGAGGTGGGAGTCATGCTGGGAATGTATACTTTTTAAAATCAGAATTTTGAATATTGGAAACTCTAATATGAGTCATGATGCATGTATGTACATCTGTCTTCTGTTCTCTTGCAGTATTTTTATTCTGTCCAATGAGACAGTGAATATCTGGAGCCACCTTCTGGGCTTCCTGCTTTTCTTCTCTCTGGGGGTCAACGACCTCTCATCAGTGCTGCCAGCTTCTGGAGCTAACAGAGAGGACTACGTCATCTACGCTATTGGACTGTTCTGCTTCCAGGTAAACGTTGTTTGGCTGTATGTACTGGGTGTTTTCCTGTGTTGGGGAACTTTTTGCGCCCCCACTGAGGTTTTAGCCACAGGGTCAAGGGTGCATCAAAAGTCATTTTTACTGGACTTAGACGGATCGGGCTTCGTGCTGTGCATCGTTACCCCCTAACAGTCCATTCTGATCATGTGTAAACGGCCTCTTTTGATTCCTTCTGCCTGACCAGCAGGATTTCATGAGTTTTAGGTTTTTCTTCTTCTTATTTCTCAGCTGAAAACGACTCCTGTACCTCATATTGTTCTGGTTTATTCATGCTGATACACCTTCAAAGACTGGTTAGATCAAGTCTTGGAATATCAGCAGGTATACATTATCATTAGTGGATTGTTTGGATACTGTAGGGTTAATTATATTCAGTGTTTCCTCAATTACAAGACATTTGTGTGACCTAACAAACCGATTCATGTGGGTTTACATTTCCTGCCGCAGGTGAAATCAGCTCTGTCTGTTCAGGTGTGTAAGTCGTGTTGTACAGGTGGCCCACGGTGTTAGCGTCTCAAAGAGCTCCAGTAGGAATAGACGTGAAGTTCAGAGTTCCTGTGATCAGCTGTGTATTGTTTGTGTAGTTAGCGTAGCAGCTAATGACGGGATTAAAACCTGTTCATGTAATAAACAACTAGTCAGTGGGATTCCTGTGTCGTGTACCTTTCCCTTCCATCACTTAAAACCTCTCTTTGTGCTCCTGCATGTGCATGTTGTGAGTATTTGGAGTTTATATGTGGAGGTAAGTTCATATAAAGGCACTTAGTTGGTTTGTAGTTTAAAACTGATTAACTCGATGAATACAACGATGGCGCCCATAACGTGATGACTTGCAGGTAATGTTTCAGTGTGTGTCTCTTCACCTCCAGGTGTGCATGTTGTGCTCGGTGGGCTATCACCTGTTCTCGTGCCACCGCTCAGAGAAGACCTCCCGTCGCTGGCTGGCGCTGGACTATGCCGGCATTTCGGTCGGCATCCTGGGCTGCTACGTCCCCGGGATCTTCTACGCTTTCTACTGTAACGCTGTAGGTGCAAACACTCGATAGCAGCTCGCTGTCTGTTTTTTGTTGAATAATTTATGTGCACGGTCTTCAAATATTTAGCCTTCGAAACAGTTTGTATGTACAGTTTGGAATATGATCTGAGCTGATTCCACTATTAAATAACTTATAATAAGGAATTAACTCAGATTAAGCTGTGTCTAACGTCATCTGTTTTTTCCTCCTTGCAGTTCTGGCGACAGGTCTACCTGCTGACCGTCCTGTCCCTGATCCTGGCCGTCTTCTGTGCTCAGGTCCACCCCCGTTACCTCAGTAACGACTGGCGGCGGATACGCATGACAATCTTTTGCTGTGTGGCAGGCATCAGCGTGGTTCCTGCATGCCACTGGGTCTGGCTCAACGGAGGATTCACCACCGACGTCGTACAGGTCAGGAAACACGGCGGCGACGGACGACAGGCCAACTCGAGTGCTGATGTTTGTTGTTGATGGTTATAAATCTGTCCTCTGCAGCTGTTCCTGCCTCGTGTGATAGTGATGTACCTGATAGCCGGATCCGCCTTCCTGTTCTACGTCACCAAAATCCCCGAGCGCTATTTTCCTGGTGAGTCGTCTTCGTCTCTCTCAGCTTGAAATCAGAAGTTGTCATGCTAACCTAGCTGAGACTCAATGAAAAAAAAAAAAACAGAAATAGGAATCACAGGGAGGTTAGGGTTAGATGTCTCGTAATCCCCACGACGCTGTCTGCAGAAGCTGTTTTTTTTCATCTGTATCTGTGGATTAATGTAAACTCAGCTGCTCCCCACTAGAGGTCACTGTGTTTAAGGTTTCCCCTTCACCATCTGCAAGTTTGTTATCTTGAAAGTCAGGCTTTCCCCCTTGTTTAAACGTCCATGTGGTGTTTCCTGTGCGCTAGAAGACACATCATGAGCAACATTAACAGCCAGTGCCACTGCTGAGCATTTCCATCTTGTACTGATGACAAAAACAAAAAAAAATCACTTCAACACAAATAATTAAACAACTCAGAAACACACATTTAGCTCTCCAGAGTTTTAAACGTAAAGAAACCAGTCAGCGTACAAGGTCGGGCTCTCCACGGTGTTGTTCCTCTTCAGATTCAGGTTCTGGCTGAACTACTCTAATATTAAAAACTGTCTTTGTGTAGCGGAGAGTTAACTGTATAGTAGAGAAAGAGACTTCATAGAGCTGCACATTCTACAGGAGATAACTGTAAGAAATTATTTTCCTGGAACAAAACTTCTAATGATGTAATTTTAATACTCAGAGTCTAGCTTTAATCAATGACCAGAGACAGACTGTAAATTAAAATCAATCCTAATTGAATCGTTCAGTTACACAGAAACAGGAACAAAGAAAAAGAAAAGATCTGGGAGGTTATTAGATTAACAAATGCACCAGATCAGTCAGTGTATCTGTACTATCGACAGGTGAGACATGTAAACTGAGGAGTTCACTGAAGCCATCAGGATCATAGACCCGCTGCAGGTTTTATGTAAGAGGGAAATGAATACAAATATATTAGCGCTCTTCACTTTGCATGTACACACAAGATACACACTACGTTGTTTCAGCAGCATTAGTTCTTTTTTCAGACGTGGTCGACTTAACTGGGAACAGCTGAGACCGATTTCCTAAATGACCACATAATGAGTCAACACACAGCTCTGCTTCTGACTGGTCCTGGTAGGAGAAGCACAGGTGTTACTAATAACACTAACGATGGCTCCTTTAATTTAAGCGTCCCAGCGTGACAGTTTAAATGTAACCGAGGTTCAGGAAACAGCATCATGTGGGTCACTGCAGTGAAAACAGAACCACGTGTTCAGGCTGTCACACTCTGTACAGTGAATTCAAATAGTTTGGTCATAATTGGCATTTGACAAGTCAAAAAGCTAAAACTGCTCGGTTAAATGTAAGGCCTGTTGCAGACATGTCTCCAAATATCTGCACAGATGATCCTAGAATGAGGCACATAGTTGGTAATTGTCATTAAATCATCATATGGGGATATGTAGGGAGGTGAAATGAAATTAGATCTACAGACTGACTGTGTAGCTGTAATCAAGGCAGTTGTACAACTTTCCCCTGAGCTGCCGTCAGGTTTATGAAATGTGCAACATGCTGCTTCACAGCTGTTTGTGTGATGATCACAAGTTTAAGAACAGAAGAACGTGACATTTCCTACATTTTTATCCTGGTTTGTGTTCATCACGGTGAGACACTGAGTAACCCAGAAGTACCTGGATGAGCCCAGGATGTCAGACCAGACAGTTTGTAGAAAGATTTGTACCATTTTTAGGTCTGATACTCGTTTTTCAGTCACAAATATGTCTACTGATTGGACATATTCCAAAAATGTGTTGTTTTAGATGATTATAGAGGCTCAATTTCCACTTTCAGACTTCTTACGCATTTTATAAACGTCTAACCTCGACTTTCTGACCTCATTTCCTACTAAAATGTACGTTGTTTTTGGAGACAGTACAAGAACAAACACATCAGTTATATTTACATCCGCTCTCTGCCTCTTCTCGTCCAGGCCAGCTGAACTACCTGGGCGCCAGCCACCAGGTGTGGCACGTCCTGGTAGTGGTGATGTTCTACTGGTGGCATCAGACCGCCGTGCACATCATGCACTTCAGACACAGCAAGTCCTGTCCATCCCGGAGCAGCAGCTAAGTGATGCTCATCACGTGACATGGTGCAGCGGCGGCTGGCTGATAACCACCACGTTCATACTAACAACACGTAGCTGTCACCGTGTCAAACACTAACTACACGAGGCTTCTGACAACCAGCTGCTAAAATGTACAACTGACGGAGACGGTGATGAGTTTCTCTTGACTTTCAGTCGGTCTGTTGTCTCTGCTGTTTGTCCAGTAGCTCTCATGCTGCACCGGTTAGTCAGCTGGAGATGCTGCAGGACTCTGAGTTCGGTTTTTAGCGACTGTGAATTATTGTTGGACCCGAGCAGCAGCGCCTCATCCAACCCTCCCACAGACAGACAGACAGAAACTGTACCTTTTGCATCGTTAGATTACTGCATGAACAAGTGTTTTTTTATTTATTTGTAGGAACAAACAAGCTTTGGTGTTTTAAAGTGAGACACATGTCGTCTCACGGCTGACTCAGATTGTGTTTTCTTTGTACAGAAGTATTGAAAAACCATCAATAAGGTTTTTTTGTAGAATCAAACATAATAGCCTGCGAGAACAACAACGTTTAGCCTGTAGCTTTGTTGTAACTGTCGGTTCTTATGAAGTTCATTAATATGAAACGTCTTCATCACAGCGACTGGAGCATCGATGTGAGTCGTGTATCTCCAGGAGGAACAGCGATTCGATGTCTCCAGCATTCTGAGCTTTTGAACAAATCATACCTGATCAATCAATCTGCAAGGTCCAGCTTGCAAAAAGAAAAAACAAACCAGTGTGGGGAACCTGCTGAGGTTGCAGTGCATTATTTTATCAAGACTTCCTGGGTTGTGCTTTGTGTCTTTTATTTTGTGTGTCTTGTTTGGTTTTTGGAACAGTGATGAGAAAATAAATCCTCTGTGTAGTTGTGGAAGCCAGCATGTTGGGCCTCCTGGCACATCAGAGGAAACCCCAGAGCAGCAGAGTTCATCACGAGGCTGAGCGTCGCCTCCTGCAGCGTAGCCGTCACCACCGACATGTTAGCGCTTCCTTCTCCTCGTCCGTCTGTCTCTGAACACAATGCTACTTAAACCGAGGTTCTAATTTTGGTCCTCCAGCGTGTCAGCTGCAGTTTTAAATAAAGAAAACATCGTGATCACACATTAAACTCCATTCTGGCCAGTAGACAGAAGCTGAACAGGCTTCCAGAGGAGGTACAGCAATAATGCAGCGTTTATACTGTACAGGACGGGTTAATCAGACTCATTTATCTCTGCTGGTGTGCGAACACTTTTGATCTAATGTGGCCTGAAACAAACGGAGGTGAAAGGGTTTTTGTTTTTGTAGCTTCATTGATGCTCAATCAGGATTGAAGGAGGAGGCTCTTAATCGTGACAGAACATGAGATTTAAGGCCAGTTTTATCTGTTACAGCTGCCTTTTTTTAAACAGTTATTTTTCATCAGCACTCTTTGGGACGTTAATGTTTTGTGTTAAATGACTTTATTTGCCTTATTTTCTCTGTGTATTTGTTTGTACTGTATTCTCACTTACTGTTACAGTCTCTGGGTCAGGAAGTGACCCCGAACCAGAACAAAATGATGAAACGCCACCAGGCCAGTATGGGTTTTCTTTGTTTTTGTATTCTACAGTGTAATGTTTAGAACAGATTCAGTCTGAGAGCACTAACCGCTGCCGACGACAGCACTTGAACACAAGAGGTGACTTTACTTTGCCATGAACTGCTCGATCTTTTTCAAACGATTGTTTTTGTGTTTTTTTTTGTGTGTCTTCCTTGAATATCATTTGTATGATGACGCGCCGGCACTGACTGATGAGCTGTATTATATGTATTTCAGTGCCTCTGTGAAAATATATTTTTAAACATTTTGAATGAATAAAGAATGCTGGAAAATCACAGTGTTGAAGTAACTTTTGTTTGTATTCTGAATGAGGAACAATGACTGAGAAGGTGTCTGAATGAACCACGAGGAGCTCAGAACCGTCTGATCCACAGCACAGGACAGATGCCTCCTTATTGTACATGGAGGCTTTTATTGTATCCGTGTTGCTATGGTTACCCACTTTGAACACAGGCTTTAGAAAGGTGAACACAGATTCATTGGGACTACCCAGTAAGTGTCCTTCATCAGGGACGTCCTGCAGCCAATCACAATCGAATATTCACTCAAGCTGTGGTGTAATTAGTTTTAGGAGCAAGAGAACATTAATAACTGTTTAAATCTCAGACATTAGACCTGTTGGAGGGTAAATTACTGCTGCGGTGTGATTTTATTATCATAATAATCGCTTTTTGTTTCCTGAGGAAGCGTCCTGCACCTTGAAAGTGTGTCGTGCTATTCACAGTGTTAACCAGTAGAGGGCAGCATTGATGCAAACATTTTCCTTTTACAGTGTAATATATGGCTAATTTTATTTTGTTTATCTTTTTCCCACACGTGTCGGTTAATCGTGCAACACCTGCATGAGAGGAGGTTTTGAGTTCTTAATGCCAAAGGTCCAGTGTTTAGGATTTAAGGGAAACTTAATGCACAGTGTGTGATGTTTCTCCAAAACTTCTCTGCACACTTGGAAGTGGAGGGAGGGGAGAGGAATATTCATTTGGTTGCAACCTGAAAGCTCGCCACTAGAGGTCACTAAATCCTACATCCTGCTCCTTCAGCGATTTGAATCAGAAGCTTTTTATCACCAAGTGAGCTCGTGCACACACAAGGAATGTGTCGTGGTGAATGAGATGGTACACAACAATAACAAGACAAACATGAATATAAAAATCTAGATCTAAGAAATTCTAAATAAAATATATGTAAAAGAAAAGTATAAAAGTACTACTTAAATAAAAAGTACTGTGAAAAGAAACGTAAACCAAGTAATAAATTAGGAAACAGTTGAAGTTACAATACTGCCCATGTGATGGTGATGCTCAGTGGAGTGCAGCAGGAGTCTTTAGTGGTTTACTGGCTGCTCATGAGGGATCTGGTCTGAGGGAAGAAGCTGCTCCGGTGCCCGGATGTTCTGGTGCTGAGAGACCTGAAGCACCGGCCGAAGGGCAGCAGGTCAAAGAGGTGATGACCTGGGTGGGAGGGGTTGGAGAGGACTTTTTCTGCCCTTTTCCTCACTCTGGAGGAGTACCGGTCCTGGAGGGGGGGCAGGGGGGCACCAATGATCCTCTCAGCGGTCCTGACTTTCTGTTGCAGGCTCCTCATGTCTGATTTGGAAGCAGAACCGAACCAGACAGTCAAAGATGAGCACAGGACGGACTCAGTGACTGCTGAGCGGAACTGTTTCAGCAGCTCCTGTGACAGGCTGAACTTCCTCAGCTGGTGGAGGAAGTACAGACTCTGTAGGGCCCATTTGTGTTATGTTATGTACATGTTACGTACTTGATGTGGATTTTTTGGACACATGGTGTATATGTAGAGGGCACAGGCAGGGGAAGAGCCAACAGTTCTCACCAGACCAGCATCAGACCAGCACAGATACCAAAGTCACCGTGGAAAAACCGCTGTATTTTCATTTCTTGCATACCATCGAATAAACATCCACTAATGGCAAGTATACTGACTGGAGATTCTGTTTTTGGTCTGCGTTGGTTCACTCTGCTCCACCTGTGCAGTAACGGCAGTTAAAGGACATTGAAACATTGCCATTACAGTCTCTGTTGGGCCTTTTTGACCACAGAGTCTATGTGGGTCTCCCATCTCAGGTCCTGGGAGATGGTCGTGTCCAGGAACCTGAAGGACTCCACAGGGCTGAACGCTCCATGTTGGTAGATGACAGGAGCCTCCTGATGACTCAGCTGGTCAGAAGCCATCACATGCTCTCAGCGTTGGTGTCAGATGTGTAAATCCTCGTCTGTCTATCTTTATTAAGAGTCCCGTCCCAGTCGCTTTGTATTTATGTGGCGCAAAGTGCTCACGCAGCAAAGAACGTTCAAACAAAGGCTGGCAGAGAAGCTTTCTGATGGCTTTGAAGTTTTCTTTTTTGAACCCAGTTTACAAGAAGATTTCCAGACAGAGATAAAATTTACTGTGAGACCATTCTGATGACGAAAGCATAACTTGAGATCTGCACATCTGAACCCTTGTAGGCAGAACCAGCACCTGGTTAGCTTAGCATAAAGGCTAGGAACTGATTATAGCTCCGTTCAAAGATGACAAAATTAAACTGATTCAAATGAACTCAGTTTGTTTTGCTAGTTGTGTGTCTTGCGTGTAAATGAAAGTTATTTTAATTTTTACGCCTTTGTGTTTAGTTACAGTAAAGAAACGAGCCGTCCGCCGTGTGGAAAGTGAACCTCTTCAATCATTGACTGTGCAGCAGACAAGCAGCTTCCTCTGAGCTGTGTGCAGTTAATAAGTAAATGATGGAGCCTCACATATACCTGAATGTACTGCTCTGCTATTGATAATTACATGAACTGTATCTGAGCACACGTCTCTATTTCTGCATTTAGAAGGACTTTCTGCTCACAACAAGACGTCAGTGTTTGAAAGTATGATTATTATCTGAGGAAATAGCAGCCATGAGTCTATTACCTCATGGACTAATGGATAGTTTTGTGCAGCAGAGCATCAACACTGTTCAGCAGTTTTTGGAGACAGTAAACATTTATTTGAAGTGATTTTAAAGTTTCAGCTGACTCTTTTACGCTTTTACATATAAATATAGTTTTTTGCTTATTGTGCTCCAATAACAATAAATGCAACTTCACATCTACTTTAAAGGGGTTTTCTGACATTTTTATCATTGCAAACATGTTTTAAAGGTATTTTTCTGGTATTAATGTCACTTTCACAGCTAATTCCATTTAAAACTACATCAAAGCACCACATTAGAAATAAAAAAAAATGCTTCAACGGATTACAAAATATGGTATTTTATGTGGTTTCATCACTCCAAGAGGTGGTTTTACATACATAGTCATTATTATTCCTTCCTTCAGCAAACATTTTTAACTTCCTGTCTGGTTGTTGATTTAACCTCCTGAAAACTCATCTTTGTGTGCAACAGTTACATATTTACAAGTATTTTTCCATTAAAATAAGTCTTTCCTAACATTATATTACCGGATTGTTGCCTTGGGTTGTTATGCCAGAAACACTATAAGTCCAGAGATAGAGGCAGTTGTTCCAGGCTGCAGTTTCAAGCAGCATCGACTCCGTATTTCACTCATAATATCTCTTCTAGCATGTAAATAAAAGCACCATATGAACATGTAAAAAAACAACTCAAAGGGTCCTTAACGGTTGTAATTAATAGATTTTTTCTCAGCAGGATAAACGTCTGTTACTGGCTGATATAATAATAATAATAATAATAATAATAATAATAATAAATAAGTCACACACACACTCACTGAAGACGTGTTAGTTTAATTCAAGTATTGAACATTAGAACTGTTTGTGGACGTTGAATGTCAACACTAAGTCAAAAATAAAAGTCAAACAGACTTCCCCCAAAAACTACGATCACATCAGGATTCCAGTTAAACCAAAGTATGAAAATGTTCAATGACAAAATGCATGTAAGAAAAGAATTACTTTATAAATTTAAAAACAATCACTTCTACATCTTGTTACAACAACAAGAACATATTACATTAGTACATATATGATGGGTTAATTTCTTTCAAGAAATAATTTCAGTAAAAATTTGACCCTCCCAACAGGAAACAATACATCAAGAAAAACATTAGTTCACAATACAAAAGTCTGATCAACAAAATATTTTACCAAACCGATGGCAGTGAAGTGTTTGACCAGATGTGTGCAGCATGCCCTGCTGCCATCACTATATTACAGAAACACCACGTGTGAGGTTTTGCTTTCGTCCACAGATCTCAGGCGAGTGGAAAAGATGTTTTGAGACGGTTCCTGTTGGATGATCAGAACAGGGCAAGAGTACAAGTGTGTTGTAACGAGTCCTGGTCCGGAGGCAGGACTGTAAGAAAGAGGCCGAGGAGGCGCATCGTCCTCGTCGGTCACGTAAAGTATTTCATCCCGTCGTGCATGAGTGCTTCAGGAAGAGCTTAACCAGCTTTTCAGAAATGATTTGAGGTCCAACGTAACAGTTGGCGCTTCAAGAAACAGCCCCGGTAGTGGCTCAGAGTCTGAACTCTGGACTCGGGGATTAAAGTCATGATGGACTTTGACTTGAGGTGATATCAAGCTTAAATAGCTTACATTGCAATAAATAATGTTTCCATACAGCGTCACAGATCTGCTGCATGAAAAACAAACAACATATCAGCCGAGTGGAAACTAACCTGGAAATGAAGGAAAACACGCGTGTGCCTGCTAACATACAACAACCGTGCACTAAAGCAGCACCTGGTTACAGATTCAGCAGCGCTTGTTCTGTCAACACGCATCATTGTTTGATATCATTAATGCTGTATCACGCTCCTAAAACCATTCAGTGATTAAAAATAGGCCACAGATGTTCACTGAGCTACAAAGCTGTGGGTGTTATTTTCCCTTCCTGCTGCTAACTTTGCTTCCTGAAGAGGGAACTTCATGAGAGAACGCAACACGACTGACACGGGCCATAAACTGGAAATCTGTAACCACAGTGGAATGACTTCAAGCAATCGTGTCTCGTTTTTTATTTGTACCTGAATCTGAAACAGAATTATGTAATAGCAAGAAGCATAACACATCTGAGAACTGAGTAGACTGAATAATGTGCCTTTGCAACATGTTATTATATATAAAAATGTTTATTTTTGCCCTTTAAAAACGGGGTTTTATAAAATGTAATGCCATTTGTCTGTGGAGTACTGGCTGATTAATCAAACACAACATTAAAACCACAGACAGGGGAAGGGAGTACCAGAGATTGTCTCGTTAGGATGCGATGTACTGCTGGGAACCCTTGAGTCCCAGAATTCATGTGGACATTACACTGCACCAGTTTAAACACCAAGCAGACCACTGACATATTACATAATCAGAAACAGCTCAGGGGGGACACGACAAGATGCCCCAGCCTCCAAACTGCCCAGATCCAAGTGTGGTTGAGCAACTGTGAGATCCACCAGAACAAGCTTTACACATGGAGGCCCCAGTCTGTAAACCACAGGACCCAATGGAGGCGCAGCCAATGTGCTGATATCAGCCACAGCAAGACAACCCCAAAGGTCCCACGTCTGTAGTCTAACGGGTCAGAGATGCTTTGGCAGCACAAAGGGAACCAGCACAATATCTGGCATGTGGTTCCAATGTTGTGTGTGTCTGGTGACTTTATAGTAGCTTTACCTCATTTTCCTTCTACTTTGGCCAACTTGACTAAATTTCAACTTGAGTCCAGCTCTTTAGATCTAGAAAAACGGTTTTAACAGAAGGCTTGTCGGGCAGATCAGGTTTTATTGGTGTTTAAGGGCACAAAGCTTTAAAAAGTGTTCAGCAATAGGACAGTCTTGGTACCTTTGTTTTCTTGGACAAAGCTCCCTTAAAGGCACCCTCTTGGTGCTACCTAACGCCTAAAGTCAGTTTCAGGCACACAACGGAGAGGAAAAAATGGGGCACACGGTTATATTTTTCCTATTTCCTTCCTTCTCTGGATGTTCTACACCACAGAGTCTTCTGGTCGGCTCTCTGCCACGCCGTTGGCATGAAGAACTGCAGCATGAACTGTGTGAAACAGAAGGCTGCTCATGTCTATGTCGTTCTTCCCAAAGAACTGTCCCTTCTGCAGGATGTCGATGACTGTGGTGCTGCAGCTGGCGAGGAGCACGCTCACTCCGATCTCTTTGTATTCCTTGACCAGTGTTTTGAAAGTGGCCATGCCTGTGGAGTCTATGAAGGGGATGGCAGAGCAATCTAGAACTATGGTGTGGAAGTCCAGGTCCCTTTGGACGAGCCCTACGATCACGTCTCCGTTGTTTTTCTCTCCGTTCGCCTTGGCGTGTTTCATGGACATTTCTTTGGCCTTCTTCTCTGCCTTTCTCCTCTTAGTCATCTCTAGGAAAGGTTCGACTCCGACAGATTTGTAGAGGGATTTGAGGAAAGAGTCCTTATTGGCGTAGTACAGGGGAGCCTGGAAGCGGAAGACCTGGACCCGAGGTGGTGGCACGAGGTTCTCGTACTCCTCCAAGTCCTCGTAAAGATCAATGTCACTGACCCTGCCCAGGAGAGAGACCTGACAAAGCAAACATCAGATTAGTGAGGTAATTTCTATCACCTTAAAAAACAAACAGTTGTTAGAATTGTGTTGTTTACTTACTTTGGGGTTCTGGGTCTTGAAGATGATGCAGGACATGGCAAAGAAAACCCCGACAAGTAGACCCAGCTCCACACTGATCAGAGCTGTGGAGGACATGGTGACCAGCCAAACGATGGCGTCGTTCCTGCTGGCGCGCCACTTCGCTGGAACGTCCTTGAACTTCCTCAGCGCCCCCCGAAGGCTCACAATGATAATACAGGCAAGGACGCATTTCTGGAGAGAGTAGAAGAAAGGCGCAAAGACCAGGAGGACGAGAAGGACGACCACAGCGCTGATCAGACTCGATACCTGGCGGGAGAGCAGGAACATGGAGAAAGATGGAGATTTTGTGGGAAAAGGAAGTTATTAACTGATTAATACTGTATGTTTTGCTGCTCTGAATGCTGAGGGCTGCACATGGTCAGGACAGAATTCATCAGTGTTCCTAGAAACAATTTCCTCTGACAGGAAAGCTGGCACTTTCATACCAGGATGTCGAACCAGTGTTTGACTTTGGCAGACCTCTTTATTCCCTGGACTTTGCAGAATCACAGTTTCTTCCCATTTACTATCACTGGTCATTTTACCATCTGAGCGATCGTTTCTAAGCAAATGTATGCAGTGGAAACATTTTCAAGATCTTCCAGACAGTGTTACTGCAAAACCCCAAACAAGATCTACAAACAGTGGATTACATAATTTAGTATCTGTGGTTTTGACCAATTTTAAAAGCCTGATAGTCACCTGTGTCTGGCAGCCTGTCGAATCCTTCACCATGGTTTTGGCCAGAGCTGCGCTGGTGGTGAAGCAGTGGAAGAAGGAGGGGATGATGTTACAGAGGCCGATGGCCAGCATCTCCTGGTTGGGACGAACGGTGTAGCCGTTCTTCTTAGCAAACATCTCGGACAGCGACACCGTGAAGGCGAAACTACAAGACAAAATTACATTTTTAGTGAATGGTGGCTGTTAATTAATCTTTACCTTTTTTGAACATACATTAGGTTGATCACATTGTAGAATTGTAAGAATCCAAACATTAGACTCAGAAGTTGTCTTACAGGACCACATTCACCCATTTCAAGAATGAAAACAACAACAGTGGAACTTTAAATGACCCACTTTCTGTTATGTAAAATGAAAGGGCGGGGATGTTACTAGCTGTGTGTGTTTTGGCAATAAAGTGCAATCAAATCTCTCTCCCAGTTAAATTGCGTCTGTAACAACCCAGATAAGACACACACGTTCCTGCCAAGCCAATGTGCCGTTAAATTGGTTGTACATTACCTAATGACTGCCAGAGGAATGGCATCCAGCGCCACTCGTGGCATCAGACCGAAGGCAGGCACCTGGGGAGGAATGAACCCTGTGGGGATGTGACCAGAAACACTGGAGCCATAGCGGCTGTTCAACCCCCCGAAATGGCTGGCCAGTGTTGCTCCTGCCACCACGACCAGCTCAGTTGGGAGAGGAATCTTTAGACGATCTTTGTAGCGTTCCTGGATCTCTTTCCCTGCCACTATAATAAAGAAAAGTGTTAAACATTACATATATGATTAATTGAATTGGTGCATATGTCAACAGATCTAATGACAAACCTAAAATGGAGATGCAGATGGCACTAGTGATGAGATCACAGAAGTTGGTCTTGTGAATGTTGGCAAAGATGTTGATCCAGGTGACCACCACGGTGCCGTAGCCCTGATGACGTGGAATCTTCAGACCCAGCAGGTATTTCGCCTGCACGGTCAGGATGGTGAACGAGGCTCCCGTGGCAAAGCCGTCGAGCATGGGAGCCGAGAGGTACACGGAGACAAAGCCGAGCCGAAATATGGCCATGAGAATCTGTTGAGAGGATCAGGATGGAGAGGAGTGGAGGAGGAAGGGGAGACAGAAGATTGATTGGTATGAAAAAAAACTTATGAGACACAGGTCAGAATGGGATTTAAAGGATGGAAGCACAGCTAACAGGACTAACAGTCTTCAACAAGAAGGGGAAGGAGTCAGGCATTGAACTGTAATCACTTCAACATTATTATTGAAATAAAAACAGCTGATCACTGCTGAGATATAAGACCTGTACATAACCACACCCAAGTTGCATTTACCGTGGATAATAAATGAGGACCCAGCCAAGAAAACATCGGTCCACAGAGCAACTGATGGTCACAAACTGAGTCCTGTGGAGTGTTCCTGTATTAAACCAGACCACCATCTTTTGCTAACATGCTACCAGTGTCTATAAATAGCCATGAACAAGTCTGGGCAGATATTGTATTTAAAAAATGAATATTTTGGTGTATGTTGTTGTGGGATTTTGAGTCTAAACACATGACAAAACTGGAATGTGTGATGTTTAAATTAGACTCAAACACAAAGTAATGATGACACTAGGAAATATGATGGTGAAAATGAATTCATGTAAACACTGATCAGTCCTGTGAAATCACAACTCATACAAAACTTATAGAAGGTAACCACCACGATAAATAACTGTCTGAAGCTTGCAGTTTATGTCCATGTCAAGGCCGAGGGTGGTGCGACTGACAGGAAGAGAGGTAGCGAGATGCAGGACAGGTCAGGACAGAGGAGAGGCCTGCAGGTGTGAATCGCGACGTTTGGGAGGAGTTTGCATGAGTGTTTAAGAACTTGTACAGAGTTGTTTAGTTGAAATCTCGAGATTTTGCTCATGTTTGTTCTTACAGCCTTCTGACCTGAATAAACATTATTCACAGCAGACTTGAACTTTTCTGAAGACTCCAATAGTTGATCCAGTTGTCTACAAAGCTGCCTGATCATCAGTGGCCCACAGCAGGAAGACGGAGTCAGAGCAATACAGTCAGAACCTCTAGAGGACAGGGTTGGCTAGACAACGTCTTACGTCTGTTCTTTTACCTGGTAGATGCCAGCCAGGAATGTAACAGCGGCCGCTATGCTGATGGCGTAACACTCCTTCCCACACTGCATACCCATCAGCTCCACCGTGTGCGCTGGACCGTCGGTCAGGTTGGTTCCAAATGTGCCGTTAAAGACATCAGGACTAGATGGTGTGGAGTCCTCATTGAGGTCGAAGCCTGCCAGGAACACCTCCCTGTCCACCACCTGCAGACGAGTCGGAAACACCAGCAACACATAATCAGGACAATAAGAATGAGCAATAAAGCTCCTCAGTGCTATTCAGTTATCAGTGACCTTAATAAGCATGATCATTCTGAGGCAGAGGCAGGTTAGTTATACATTAATAAAGTTCATTCACCTGCTCAGTGGAGTAATTTTGCATAATTTTATAGATATTGCTTTATGTATATTGACAATTAAAACTTCTTTCCCACACATGTCAATATCACACTTTAATGATTATAATAATAGATGCATTTAATCAGTCTTAATCAGATTTTAGTTCTGTGGAATTTAAGAGGTTGTTTTTTTTCTTCATATCAACAATAAAGACCTCAGTAACATCACTACTGGTCACTTCTGATCCATTACCTGTCCAACCATGAGGCTCATGAGGCTGAAGATCCCCACTGACACATGTCTGGATGTCCCCATGAGGAAGTAGATGATGTTGGCATAAAATGAAGTGTATAAGCCGTAGATGGGCTCCACACCAGCCAGCAGACAGTAGGCGATGGCCTGCGGCACCAAGATGATGCCGACTATCAGCCCAGACATTACATCACCCCAGATGTACTCCCTGAGCTTGTACTTAGGCAGCCAGCGCACCACGGGGAAGAATCCCGTCAGGGTGGATCGCACTCTGGGCACGGAGCAGGTAACGCTCTGCTTCAGCTTGGATTTGAGGACTGAGGCTGTGGGCTGCCGCTGGCGAACCCGCCGCTCCAACAGAGGCGGCGGGGCCAGCGGGGTTTCCTTGGAGACCTCCTCCATGGCCTTGGAGAGGAAGAGGAGGCAGCACGGTGAGGTGAAGGGGTCAGCTGTGCTCCTTGGGGAGAGACGGAGATGGAGAGGAAAGACACGGGTTTACATTTAGGGTTTCGTAGGTCTAGCACACTGGCTGAATACGTTTCCATCCATATAAAACACTTGACAACCCGTTGGTCAACTGAAAGCATCTCTCAATAGCACCACTGGTGTCTAAAACACCTCAGAGTGCCTCTAAAGGTCCCATATCGTGCTCCTTTTCAACAAATTAAGCTTTTTTTTGCACCTCTAAGTTTATACCAACCTCAAAACACAACAAAAATGGATTTTCACCACATGGGACCTTAAACACATTTTGATGGTTTAACTAACTTTTGCAGCATTTATGCCCAATTAACATCCACCAATAAACCTTCAGTATCCTAACCAATAAAATACAAACAGACAGTACAGTTAGGTTAAAGTTTTACAGTTCAGGTCAAAGCAGTGTTGTCAGTCACGGTATTATTTTGGGTTTTTGATGACATTGTGTAATCTCGTTCATGCAGATTCTTCGCGGGTTTGTCCTTTAAACTCCTGAATCATCAGCCTTCTGTGTGAAGATTCACTCAGGATTACAAATTAACTGTACGATACCTTTATTTGTAAAGGTAATGGACAAACAGTTTGCTGAGTGTTATTCGCTGCCTCTTTTTCCCAGAGCAGCAGTTAGTCAGTGACAAGATGTACTATTGATGTATAGTTGAACTTTCCGACCCTCCAACAGCACAACCACCCAGATGGAAAAAACGCACTCGCACTCTGTAAATGTACAATTTTTATGAACATGCCATGTGGAGCATTTTCTCTGATCTCAAGATTACGGCCTGGTGAGCACAAATTAATTTCTAAATTGGATTTAAAGACAACATGGATTCTATACAGTCTATGGTTGTCATTTTACAAATAATAACTTCTGTATTTCCTCTGTGTGTCTATTAGTCAACATTAATTGACAGAAAATCGCAGTTGTGTTTCTTTAAAGGTTGAAGCAGCCATGTCTTTGGGAATTATGTGTTTTTTCAAAGTTAAATTTGAAGGTTGTAATGGATTGTAGGTGGATTTTCTAATATGATGATCTTAATTTAATTCAGGCCATTTTCCATTGAACCACGACACCAGCCCGTTAGCTTTTAAAGGCCGTAGCTGACGCTAACACGTTCAGCATGTGATCGGCGGGTCGCCTTTCTTACGAGATTGCAGCTTTCAGCAGCAGCTGTGTTGCGGCGGAGATAATCACGTCTCAGAAACCATAAAACACTCTACATGACAGCTAATCGGCCTCCACCATCACAACACTGGTATGTGCTGTGATTCAGACTTCCTGTGGCTCTCCTGGACTGATGCGACGGAGGATAAGGAGGAGAGGCTTCTTTAGGTTTGCTTACATAACATTCTTTATTTTGCAGAATATACGACACGTTTTGGTGCAGAACTCAGTCCTTCATGATCTTAGTTTCTTTGTCTGTCTTGATTTGTTGAACTCGCTGCGGCAGCTTTACTTCACAGTTTAACGACTGTAAACTTTGCATATAAATGAGGCCTTTAATCAAACCAGCACAGAGGTCTGATTAATCTCATCTTTGAGGACACAGGAGACAAATAATGATCCTCTGCATTGAGGTAAAACACATCATCTGAAAGAACCTCGTCCAAAGACAAAAGCACAACAGCTACCGTACGTTTGTGAGGTAGTTTACATATAAAGACTTTAACTGCTCAGCATGACAGGAGTCACACTGACGACCCTCTGGGACCAAATAAACATTATTTTTTTTCCACTGTCAACCCTGAAGAACACTGAGAGTAACTGATTAAAGCCGTTTCTAATCAGTGTTCTCTGTCTTTTATCATGTGACATAAAAGCACCCCAGCGTTGCTTAGAAATGACCTCCAAAGGGGGAGGGGGGGTCTTTTATTTAATCATGAAGTATTTTCCATTCAGTCGTGTTAAAAGTCTGCAGTGTTGAGATCCTGACTTCTTGCTGATGTTCAGTGTAAAATCTTCCAGATCACAGCGTCAGTATCTTTATGTCACATCTACAGCATCAGAACATCGTCTTGATTTTATCTCAAACTTGGCCTTGACTAGAATGTTTACAGTCTATAAAGAAAAGCAGAGTGTGGGCTGATATGCAGAGAGTTTTATGGATGGTTGTGTTGGCAAAAAGCAAGAAGAAGTCTGTCATTTCAAAAGTCTGAAGCTGGCGTGCTGATTTTATGACAGACATCGTGGCTGTACACATCCATCCATCATCTCTACACCTTAATCCTCACCAGGGTCATGGGGGGCGGAGTCTATCCCAGCTGACTCAGGGTGAAGGCAGGTTCACCTGGACAGGTAACCAGTCTATCACAGGGCTACACTTAGAGACAGACAACCAAGCACACTCACATTCACACCTACGGACAATTTACAATCACCAATTAACCTCAGCATGTTTCTGGACTGTGGGAGGAAGCCGGAGAACCCGGAGAGAACCCACGCTGCACGGGGAGAACATGGAGACTCCACGCAGGAAGATCCCGGGTGTCCTCACTGGGACGTGAACCGGCGACCTTCTAGCTGTGAGGCAACGCTGCTAACCACCGAGACACCTGCAGCCCAGCTGTACACATAATTACTGAAATGCACAAACCAATTTATTAAAGGCTTGCTAACGTTCCCATATGATGGTTTTTATTCGCTAGAAGACAAATCATGGACACGACAACCAGTCAAAGCCACCACTGAGCACTTCTACCTTGCAGCTGCAGTGTACCAATCTAATCTCATCTAGTCATCTTGCAGGTTCTGCATCATAATTCTGCTTCAGAATCAGGTTCTGGTTCACCAGTGTGTGGCTGAATCACTGTGTAGTGTTTGAGCAGAGCTGTGGGAGAGCTGGTGTGCTCGAGCAGCAGTGAGAACAGTGAGAGTTATAGAGAACAAGTGGGGAAAGTTTTCACAAAATGTTCCCAAAATTTCTCAAAAACGTCTAGAAATATGTAACCTTTACACACAGATTTAATCAGTGACCACGGAGGGATTTTAAGACAACGTGATGCAATCATGGAGGCTGATAGTTTCACAGCTCGACTGAATCAGCAGCAGCTCCAGCTTCCAGTCAGACGATGGTTTTTAACAGATACAACTAAGAAAAAGATCAAAATAACGGAAACAGTGACTGAGCTTAAACGTCCTCCCATCGCTTCACCAAAACAGATGACTCACGTTGAAAATGACTTCAGTTAAAGACCAAACTTGCTCTTAGGAAGCCTACAGCGGTCGTTAAAGGCTCAACCGACTCCTCTCCAGTGTGCTGAGATCATTGATGCTGCAGATTGATTGAGTCATTTGAACTAAAAATGGAAATGTTCCTGTTTGGGCAGAGCTGTAGAACAATCATTCATCTGAAGCTGCCCAGCAGCAGTTAATGCAACACTGGAGCTGATGATTATGCTGCAGATGCACTCAGAATAATTCATGAAAACAAAGCGTGGACTCGACTTTTTTCACCTGCAGACCATCAGCGCTGCTCTCACCTGGCAGCCACTCAGCAACAACAAGAACAATATCATTCACTATTCTTTAGGGGCTTTCATAACTTTCCCACTGAAATAAAACTTTAAAAGCATCAACGGTTGTTTAATACTCTTCTAAAAACCCCTCTGCTTCCAAATCCAAATGATAGGACACGTTCCAAGTGGGTGAAGTGTGATCATGTTGTACTCACCGGCCGGGTCACTGACACGCAAGTCTTTAATTCAAGTCAATTCAACCGCCTCAGATTGTTCTCATTATCTTTCTGATGATCTCTGTGCTCTCAGTCAGACGTCATCCAAACTGCCAGGCGCAACAGATCTGAGCAGGACTTCAGCTGAATATATAGTGAGATAAGAGCAGCCCTTTGCTCGCCCTCACACTCCTCCCTCCTGGGCTGACCACTGGGAGTGGGTGGGTCCTTCATGTCTGTGGGTGTGTGTGTGGGCAAGAGGTTAAATAAAGTCTTTTTTTCTTTTTTTCTGTGTTTATCTGCCCTGCTGGATGACCGGTGCCTGGCTTGTAATGTGAAAATGGGCCCAGACTCGTATTGTTTGAACACCTCCCGTAGACGGAGTGAATTAGCAAACAGAAGATAAACCGAAGCGCCTGTTATCTGTGCGTTCACAACCAATATCGGTTTTCTATCAAATAAACTCCTATTAGATGTGAGTAAAGTGTTGTTTATGTATCACAAATTTAACCAACAGGGATTTATTCCTACAAGGTTGGATAGAAACTAACACAAAGTCTGTAAAGTTATGAAAAATCTGACGGCCAGCTGTTAATAATACATAATAATCTGACATATTCTCATTTAAAAAGTGCTTTTGTGTTGCCAAAGACTCTCACATACTCATGTTTTTGTACTCTGTGCTCCTTCAGAACAAATAATAAGAAATAAAATGCTGACATTTACAGCAAAAAGGTGAAATCTGTGCTGATGAACACACCAGATGTTGGACATTTAAGTTGATTTTACATTCCTGTTACCAAAATATTTTGTTTGTTCCTGCAGGTTTTTTATTCATTTCACTAAAAACTGCCTTTTATACACGTCCCCATGATTAAGAAGTAAATGTTTAAGTCCGTAGATAAGTTCTGGTGATACTGTTAGACACACAGTGGTTAAAACTTTCACATTAACTTCCATCCAAGAATAACACAGACGTGAGGAAACTGTCTGTGGGCGGGTTACCTGCTTCAAGAAAGCAACCTCAGGAAGAACCAAACAATGGACAGCGAGCCGTCAGTCGGCTTCTTTCACTATAAAGACTCTTCAGACTGACGTGATTAAAGCGAGTAATTAGTGTCGCTGATTGAATCAGCAGATTTTTTTTTCTCCTAACTGGTCACGGAGCTGTTTGTGGGATTCATCTCTGGTTGAAAGTTTATCGAAATACAGGTTAAACCAACAACATACTAAACGTACTATTAAAGTAAA